TACCAGAGCTCCTTTCTAGACAAGATGAAAACTATTCAGTGGGGATTCTACCTTCCTCTACACACTCTGAAACGAAACCCCCTCTTGAAAACTTGTAAGCCAGTCACTTTTAAGTTAAATGCTGTCCAGTCGATCCTTACTCATAGTGAACCTGTATAGGGTTTCCAAGGAGCAACTGGTGAGCTTGAACCACTGACCTTGTGGTTCAAACCAACCTTGTGTTCCACTGCTTTATCCCACAGGGCCACCTCAGGACTCTAAAACTGATAATAGGATTAAACCAGAAATTTTACAAAAGTTGCCCAACACTTTGTAAAACCTCTGGAAGCTGCGCATAGAGGGGGATTTTACAACCTCTTACAGACTTTTTGGTCTAGGGAAACCTGCCTGGTCCCCACAGGAAAGATTTGTTATTGTTGTTGTTAAGTGCCATCGAGTTGGTTCCGACCCATAGCAACCCTGTGTAGGGTTTCCGAGGAGCAGCTGGTGAACTTGAACCGCCAACCTTGCATTATCAAAGGGCTTTGCAGTCTGCAGCATTAACCCACAGCGCCACACCAGGACTCCACAGGAAAGACTTGGGAGGCTCCTAAAGAAACTCCCTCATGTTGCTGGCTAGGCTGAGGAAGTAGCAGCTAGTGTGGAAACCTACCCAAACTAATGCTTTCACCTGTTTGTCCCCTGAAAGCAGCCCTTTGAGGGCAAAGATTCCCCTCTGATGAAGACGTGAAGACAGTGGTGCATTTGTGACTCAAAGCTCAGCCTAAAACATTTTTTTAATAAGGGAATATGAAAGCATACTAACAGATGCACATAGTGTATTGAAAAGCAAGGAGATTGTGTCGAAAAATGATATAGTTGTCTTCTTTAGAAGTTGATTAAAATAAATTCTACCACCAGAGTGCAGATAATTTCTGACTCACCCTCATATAAAGCAACAGTAATTAAGACATTGTCACATTGTTGTAAGCATGAACAAATAGACCAATGGAAAGAATGGGCTGTTGGAAATAGAGCCATTGATATACAGTTACTTGATTTTTCCATGAAAGTGTCAATATAATTCATGGGAAAAAGGAAAATGTTTTCACTAAATAGTGCTGGAGCAAGTTGGTATCCATATGGAAAAATTAATATTGATCATTATCTCACACCCTACAGAAAAACTAATATGATGATAAATCTAAAGGTAAAAGTTAAAATCATAAAGATCTTAGAACAAAATGTTTAAGAATTTGAGTTAGGCAATGATTCACTAGGACACAAAGACATTTATTATAAGGGCAAAAAAAGGCAATAAAGTTGGTAGTCTTTATGAAAATTAAATACTTCAAAGTCATTTGAACTTCCGGGTCGGCAGTTCAAACTCACCAGCTGCTCCTCGGAAACCCTATACTGGGTAGTTATGGGTTGGAACTGACTCGATGACACTTAACAACAACAACAACATATGAAAAGTGCTTTTAAAGAATAAGGCAAAATTTACATGGCAGAAAATATGTATAATATGTATATCTGACACAAGATTTGAATTCATAATACATAATGTATTATAAGGAAGGCGCTCTGGTACCATCTGTTCCGTGGGAGAAGATGAGGCGTTCTGCTCCCATAAAGATTTACAGCCTCAGAAACCATGTGCAGGGTCACTATGAGTCGGAATCGACTCCACGGTACTTAACAACAACAACAATATATAAAGAACATGTAAAAATCAATGAAGAGTGTCATGGCAATGCCAAGTTTCTAAAGTTTTTAAATGCTTACTCTGGATTTCAACACACAGATGATAAGACAGTAAGCAATTTTTGCACACTGGTACAGCTCCAAGGACCACACATTAAGTGGTACTGCCTAGTGGCCATCAGCTCATATAACTGTCCATTTATCATTGCTTTCATGAGCTTTCTCTTTCAAATAATTAATTCAATTCTGCTTCATTTCAGTTGATTGAAATTGAAGAAAGCAGCTCTGTAGTTTCACACAGTAGCTAACTTCTGAGAAGTCAGTTCCTTTTAGAAAATACTCATTACTGAAGTGTTTCATAGCTTTGTGCTCTGAAAATTGGCTTGGTATCGCTGTAGGCTTTATTATTTGTCCTTGGTATGTTTGATATTTTTCTTTTTGTGCTATTATTGGTCTGTTGTACTTAACAATGTGTTTTCTCATTTAGGGTACATCACCGAAGGGTTCCTCCTCTTGCAGCATTCCGTGGACAAGGCCATCATGTTCTATCATAACAACGTTGCGGCAAAAAATCTATTAGATGATATCGACGTTTTAATTCAGCGATTTCCATACCCAGAGTACCGGGATGACATGTTCTTTAAATATTCTAGTTTCTTCATCCCTTTAGTAATCCTGTTTATGTTCTCTATGAATCATTTTACCCTCATTCAATCCATTGTGTGGGAAAAAGAAAACAGATTGAAGGTAACTCCATTTTTCTGATGATAGATAATTGCTTCTGTAGAAAATGTAGAGTCTGTGGACAAATTTCGATGGCAGATTAGATTATCTCTGCACATTCAGCACAATTTCAGTAGCAGCCAAGTAGTGAACACTTAAATCTCTTGGCAATTTTATAAGATTTTATGTTTTTATCAAAAGTGTTGGTTTGGTGTTTAGTTTAGTTTTGTTTTTTTCCACAAGAATATTGCAGGTTGAAGTTAAATGCCAAATGCTCAAAACACCTCCTTGGAATTAGGGGAGCTATGAAGAATAATCAAATGGTTCTTGGACTTGCATTTAGATAAATTTAAAATACAACTCATTTCCTAGATTCTATAAATCTATGGTTTTTGTTTTGTTTTGTTTTTACCAATTTCTGATCTCTGAAATTTTTTCTTCAAAATGGCCTCTTTTCATCTATCAATTCCTGATCAAGAGAATGTTGTATTAAGACCAGAGGCTTTGTTGTTCAAAATGCAATCATTCGTCCACGCAGTCAATGATTCATTCAGTGATTATTTACTTATATATTATTTAATAAGTACTTACTTTGTTTCAGGGACTCTGGTAAACCATAGGTTTGAATCTTGGCTCTATTACTTATTAATTCTCTAAGATGTTGTGTAACTCTTCTAGCTCAGGTATAAATTGAGTTTAGTAATACCTAACTTGCAGCGTTGTTGTTAGGTGCCATAGAGTTGGTTCCCACTCATAGCAACGGTACATATAAAAGAACAAAACACTGCCCTGTCCTTCAGCATCCTCACAATTGCTCAGCTCAGCTTGAGCCCATTGCAGAACTGTCAGGATAGGAAATGAGATGCGTGAAAACTTTAGCTCCAGACCTACCATTGTGAGGTATGAATGAGGTCTACGTGAAGAGTGCTTCGGGCAGTGTCCAGCACACAGTGAGTGCTCAGTGATCCCTCTTTTGTGCACTCATGACTCGTGTCATCTGCTTCCTTCCTTTATGAGTGAGTGACCACTCCACTCGCCACACCAGGCTGACATTATGTCTTAGCCACCTAGCTCTTCTCACTCAGGAGTCTCGTCTGTCATCTATCTATTAGCTCCCTCACTTTCTTCTGTCTTGTATATTGTTTTCAGGTAATTGTCCTATAACATGGATGGATATAAATGTAGGAACTCTTTTTGGCATGTTGAATCAACTCCATTTAAGGAGATAAATTTTCTAAGATTTGGTTCACACCTATTTTTTTTTTTTCTTTTCTGTTCTGTTCTCTGTATTGTTTAAACCCAGCAAATTCCTTCCTTTTAGCAAAAATAAATGGCATATTATGAAGTTTATGTCTCTTGTGTTTATGACTGGTGAACATAGAGTTAACTTGCTCACATTAAATTTCAGAGCTGCCATAGCCTTGTTGATGGTGGGCTTGAATCACAGACCTTGTGGTTCACACTCCAGTGCTTACTGTATCGAGCCACCACACTCCCTAACCTAGATATGTGTTGTGAAGTGCCACTGAGTTGGTTCCGACTCATAGCAACCGTGTTTAGGGTTTCCAAGGAGTGACTGGTTAGCTTGAACCGCTGACCTTGCAGTTCAAACCAACCTTGCAGTCCAATGCATTAATCAACAGCACCACGCCAGGACTCCAGCTTTTTTATTACTAGTCAAGCACAAATGTTTTCATTCCATCCAGGAACTCTTATATGTAAACAATGACAGTTTTATTTCAATCGTTTTACCTTTTCCTTACCTTTTTTTACACTACCTATATTGTGGCACTGTAGAATATGCACTGGGCTGCTAACCACAGGGTTGGCACTTCAAACCCACAAGTTGCTCCTAGGAAGAAAGATGAAGCTTTCTGATCCATTAAAGGTTTACAGACTCGGAAACTCTATACAGGGTCTATGTGAGTCAGAATCCACTCCACAGCACCCAACAACAACAACAACGATACTGTCTTTTGTGCAACATAAAATTGAAATGTTTATAATAGACATCCTTTTATCATTTCTGATCTCAGAAAGAAAATATTCAACATACTACCTTTAAGTTTAGCGTAGTGGTTACGAATCGGGCTGCAAACCTTAAGGTCAGAGGTTCGAAACTACCAGCTGCTCCGTGGGAGAAAGATGAGGCTTCCTACTCCCGTAAAGATTTACACCCTCGGAAACCCTGTACAGGGTCGCTATGGGTCGGAACTGACTCGATGGCACTTAACAACAACAACAACAACCTTTAAGTTTACTATAGGCTTATTAGGTTTGGAAAGCTTGCTTTTTTCACTCCATTTTGCCACTTTCTGCTTTTGATTTGAGCATTTAGTCCATTTGCATTCTTTATTAGTACCGATAAGAAAGAACTTACTTCTGCCATTTTGTTAGTTGTTTTTTGTTGCTTTTAGCATATCTTAAGCCTCCTTTGTGTATACCCTCTAATAGTACCAGCTTTTATGTTTGTTTGCTTGTTTTTTCAGTGAGCCATTTGGTTCCCTTCTCCTTTCCTTTGTGTACATTTTTTAGATATTGTGTTGGTGGTTACTTTGAATATTATGTTTGATGTCTTGTACTTATAACATCCTGATGGTGGTGGTGGTTGTGTGCCTCTGAGGTGTTTCCTTCTCAAACCCTGCATAGGGTTTCCGAGACCGTGAATGTTTACAGGAGCAGAAAGCCTGTAGATTCAAACTACTGGTCCTGCAATTAACAGCCCAGCTTCTAATCCACTATACTATCAGAGCTCCTAGAGTCTTGGTGTGGCACTGTAGGATAAGCACAGGACAGCAAGGTCCGTTTGAACCATAAGGTCGGTTTGAACCACTGGGTCACTATGAGTTAGAACCAACTCCATGGCACTTAACAACAGCAACAATATCAGGCGTCCTTATACCATCTCGTGGAAGTTAATACCTATTTAATTGATTTCAGTAATGTACAAGAAATTCTATACGTCCACTATCTCTCTTCCTTCCCAACTGTTCTGTTATTGTCACCAATTGCATCTTTATATTTCATGTGCCCTTGAATCTAATTTTATCCTTTAAAAAATGCATTTGTCACTATAAAGCATAAAGAACAAAATAATTAAAATGATCAAGCATGCATACCTTATGACAAGTCTTTATACTTTTCTATGTTATTGTCATTGCTGGAGATCTTCCTTAAAGGTTTTGAATACCTTTCTAGTATCTTCCCTCTCTGAAAGACTCCTATTAATAGTTTTGGTAGTGCCTATCTGGTGGACTTGAACTCTCTCAGCTTCTGTTTGTGTGGAAATGATTTTTTTTTTTTTTTAATGCTGTTTAAGAAGAAGAAACTCAACATACATCACTGATAGTATTTGTCCATATTTGGTTTACAATGTTTATAATATTTGTTAATATGAAAAATTAGCCTGTAATTATCATTTCTTATAATACCCTTGTTAGGCTTTTATATCAAGGCTGTGTTATTCTATTATATAATAAGTACACACTAAACATTGTACTAGTTTTTTCTTTCACTGATGGTATCATTTACCAAAAACCTTCAGACTTTTTATATATTTCTGTACCAACATTGTTAAATTGTATTTACCAGTAATCTTTTCTTTATGAATTTTAGAAACTTCAATTTCTGTAAAATAACAGGTAGGGATTTTGATAGGGATGGGGTTGGATTTGTAAACCAGTTTGTGGAGTATTGCCATCTTAACATTAGTAAATCTTCTGACCCATGTTCATAGAATATCTTTTCATTCGTTTAGATCTTCTTTTCTTTCAACAGTGTTTTGTAGTTTTGCATGTAAGTCTTACATTTTTGTAATATATTCTGCCATCTGGATTTTTTGTTAAATAAAAGATCAATTATAGGACTGATCTCTAGGGAACTTAAAGAAACAAAAAGCCAACAACCTCTAATTCTCTATATTTTTGTTCCCAGTGTACAATAAAGTAGATCTCCATCCATTTTTT